ACCTTTAGATCTACAACCAATTGATCGCACTCTCAGTACATCCTGCCTAGCAAATGAATTTCATGATATACAAAAGAGTCCAAAGAGTGCGTATTCTAGATAAAGCTATCCTTTAAATCACAGCCCCTAACTTTTCGTAGCTAGGCGTTTCGGTCTTCTGGGCATGACTTTACGATGCTCGGGTTCATCTTTATTCTTTCCTGTAGTTCCACGACTTTGTCTCACTGGCTTCACTTTTGCACAACCATTTTTGGCCACATCATTGATTGCATATTTTGAAAATCAAGGATCCACGACCCTCAATGCGGGTTATGGATTGATCGGAGCTTCCTTTCTTACTTACACTGGAATTGCGGTAGGCGGGCATACCCAGCTCTTGTGATTGATATGATTCTTACTGATTTAAATAGATCTCGACTGGATGGTATTGGCATATGTCTTACAAATATGTCACAAAACTACGTGGTGCTTTAATTGCAAAAATTTCTGACAAGATGATGAGACTCAAGCAGGAAACAGGTCTCGAATCGAAGGTTTTCACTCTCATCATCGCAGATGTTCAAAAAATCATAAGTGCTTTGGCATACGTACATGAAATATGGGCAGTGTTTCTGGAGACTGGTTTGGCAACATGGTTGCTCTGGCGACAAATTGGACCTTCGAGCCTGACTGTCCTTGGAATTGCTTCGAGTTAGTTTCCACCACCTTCAAAATATATTTGCTAACGTTTCTCTACTAGTCTGTGCCCTTGGATCAACTTATCTCAGTAAACACGTTGGCAAGGCACAACAAACTTGGCTTGCAGGTACAGAAAAGAGAATTGCGGCAACAAAGAAAATGCTGTCTTCTCTCAAGGCAATCAAAATGATGGGTGCCAGCCAGCGCGTTGGTATGGCCATTGAGAAATTTCGAGATCTTGAATTTGTCGCCTCTAAGTCATTTCGTACTCTTTTGATTGGAAGTCTATTCTCATGTGAGTTCACCAATACCCAGATACCTGTAACAATTTTACTAATTTCAGTCGAAAGCGTATTCCACTCTCACCTTAGCGCCTATCGTTGCATTTGGGACATATCTTGGCTCCACTAGAGCTACAAGTGGAGACTTTAATGCCTCGAGATTATTCGGTTCTCTCATTCTCATCAATCTACTTGCATCACCGCTTATACGTATTTTACAAATTCTTCCGCATTTTGGGGCCGCACTTGGATGCTTCGCTCGCGTGGAAGAGCTATTTGAGAAGAAAGAAGGCATTGACTCCAGAATAGTTGAAGTTGATGGGACCACATACGAAGAGGGTCATTCTGAGACTGATTGTGCAGGTAGAAAAGAAGTATCAAACAAGGAGAAAGGAGAATATCTACTAAAGTCAAGAGGTTGTTCAATCCTATCCATCCGCCATGCAAGCTTTGGCTGGGGCGCTGAAACTAATCTGCACGATATCAATCTTGAAGTTGGTCGGGGCCAACACGTTGCCATTACTGGCCCTGTTGGCTCTGGCAAGTCTCTCTTGTTACAAGCAATACTTGGAGAAATCGAACTTAAGACTGGAACTATGCATGTTGGAGGCATAGGTATAGGGTACTGCAGTCAAATTCCGTGGTTGGAGAATGTTTCCGCACGCGAAAATGCGTTTAGATGCGCGCCTAGCGACAAATTATGGGAGGACTTGATTGTTGATAGTTGTGCTCTCGGCGACTTATTTAGTGTGCAAAAGGCGGATCAAACCGTTGGAAGTAATGGAGCTAAAATCAGTGGTGGTGAACGCCAGCGACTAGTAAATCACTCCATGGCACAAATTGAACAAGAGCTGACTGTAATCTAGGCTTTAGCACGTGCGATTGCAACTCGACCTGCAATTTTACTCCTGGATGATGTTTTCAGCGCCGTGGATAAAACGACAAAGATCTCCATGCGAGAAAAGTTGTTCCGATCGAAAGGAATCTTGCGCGAGCAAGGAACTACAATTATTCATGTTACTCAGGACCGTAAGTGTTCCACTGAATCGGTATTAGGTCATTTTCTAATTCTGTATAGAACACTTCATAGAAGCTGCCGATATGGTTCTTCACATTGACGAAACGGGAAATCTCCAACAGTTTCAACCTGTGGTTGGCGCGATTCAGGCCACATCGATTGACAAGATCGAGGGAGAAATCATCAATGCTGCAGAGTCAGATCCTGATTCCAAACCTCAACCAAAGAAAGACCATGCCGACCCAACTAAGATAACTGATAAAAGAGTCTACCAGGCGTATTTCCTCTCTATTGGGCGTTCAAACATAATGATTTTTCTCATGGGTGCCATTATATTTTCCTTCACCGCTAGGTTTCCAAGTACGTTGGTATCTAAGCAATTCCCTAATTACTTTAGCTACTAACAAAGAATTTAGACATTTGGGCAAAATGGTGGTCCGATGCAAGTACAGGCAACTCTTCAAAGAGCGTTGGGTATTGGATGGGTTTCTACGCGTTCTTTAGTTTGCTTCCATTGATCACTATAAGTCTCTGGGCAGCGTGAGTCTTTTCCTGATCTAGATATATACGTGTGCTAATTTATTGTAGTCATCTCATGCTCATAATTATCCCAACCTCAGGTGTTGGATTGCATGGTAAACTCCTCCGATCCGTCCTCAACGCGCCTTTCATCTTCATTAGCACAATCGATTCCGGGAGCCTCATAAATAGATTCAACCAGGATCTTATGCTAGTTGATACCCAACTTCCATTTCAGCTTCTGAATACTGTTTCTGGACTATTCGTCGCCATCTTCCAGGCAATTTTGGTTACCGTTTCTGCTGTTTACATCATTGCTATTCTTCCTGTTCTAGCAGCCGTGCTTTCCTTCATACAACACTTTTACTTAAGAACATCGAAACAACTGCGACAACTCGATTTAGAGTCCAAATCCGGCTTGCACACAAAGCTGTCAGAAGTATATGAAGGATTGGTGACAGTTAGGGCCCACGGCTGGCAGAAGACCATGCGAGAGGAGTTCTACGAGAAGCTGGACAGATCACAGGAACCAATTTACCTTCTTTACATGGTACAGACTTGGCTCCAGTTGACGGTGAATTTAGTAGTTGCCGGACTTGCAGTAATAGTGGTTGGTGTGGCTGTTGGGTTGCGCCACAGGACAAGTGCCGGAGGGATCGGAGTAGCATTTTTGAACCTGGTGAGTCTGGGAGAATCACTGACTCAAACCATTCAATCTTGGACCTCGTTGGAGACATCTCTTGGAGCCATTGCAAGAATAGAAGCCTTCGAACAAGACACGCCTTTGGAGCCAGAAGTTTCCTCGCCAATTGATGTCCCTATTGAGTGGCCAACCTCAGGTCAGCTTAGATTTGAAAACGTCTGGACAAGCTATAATCCTGATACCGAAAAGCCTTCCTGGAGTTTACGAGAAATCACATTACAAATTAAGTCTGGCGAGAGAGTTGCGATTTGTGGTCGTAGTGGCTCTGGAAAGTCGACTTTGTTATTATCTCTCTTGGCACTGATCGAGACAACGAAGGGTGCCATATATCTTGACGATATTGATATCTCACGTGTTCAACGATACATTTTACGATCCAGACTCCATGTTATTTCACAAGATGCGTTCACACATGGAGAAGTCATTCGCGATGCACTAGATCCTGCTGGAAATCTTTCTGATGAGACCATCAATGACGCCCTGCGTGATTGTGCTTTACTAGACAAGATCAATGCATTAGGGTCTCTCTCTGCCAATTTCGGTGATGCAAATCTATCGGTTGGCGAGACCCAACTTTTTGTGTTAGCCCGAACAATTCTTGATGCCGGAAACTCCAACAAAGGTGGTGTCGTACTACTCGATGAAGCCACTAGCAGGTAAGAAAGCCACTCCTATCAAAGGCGAGTGAGAACTAAGAGATTAATTAGCATCGATGTCGACACCGAGCGAAAAATAATGAATATTGTCGCCAAAAGACTGCAAGGAAAAACCGTGATCTCGGTTCTGCATCGTCTTGAGGCCGCCATTGAGTTTGATAAAATATTGGTCTTGGAGAAAGGCGAAGTGGCACATTTTGGAACTCCAGAGAAGGTTATCAGAGATTCCGAATTATTTTCTTCTTTCAGAAACTGAACATGAGGTTCGAAAAACATTGCATTCACATACTTTTGTAAATTTATCTCCTCATCATTATTTATATTCGTCAATTCGTAACTCGACATTTATGATCTTATGATCTTAATTCTCACGAAAGAGCACGAAATCCTACTTATTGGCGCTCAAAATGCCATATCTTTAGTAGCTTCTTAGTTAGCTTTAATATCATCACACTTGTTACACTTCACATATAAATTCATATCTCTACACGTAACTAAAGATAATGATTATAATCCATATATTTCATCGTCCATCTCTACAGGACCTTCCGAATATCATTCACGAATATGAACATCGACCCAGCAATGAATTGCAGCTTCTACTATGAACAATATGGCATCCCGGCGAAGAGAACTAACGCTCTTAACATTTATTATATAAGAGGGGTTAAGCAATCTTTGCCAAAAGAAAAAAAGAAAAAAAGAAAGCAAACTGTCTGCTTTAGAAGAGAATTCGTTTGATTGTAATATAAACAATCAAGTTATAACTTGCATTTCGTTTATAAACTTCATTGATAAGAAATAACCACTATTTTTATAGGATTTGTAAATCTTGATTTCATTTGAACGACAATTTCATTACACTTTCTCCAAGTAGACTATCCTCATCATCTTGACATTGTCATGTATCATGATAATATATCCTTCTATCACTGACCTATTATGAATAAGTAACTAAATCTGAACTCAATACTGTCAAGGAGCAGATATGTACTCAAGCACTTCCTTCGAACTTGTGACCCCTTTCTCACTCGGTTGTAGTCCCACCGACCTCCGCCTTAATCCAACCTTAATCCAAAACCTTAGCGAAAGGTGATATAAGTTCAAACAAAGGGCCGTACTTTAACAATAACAACCAACAATCAGCGTTTGTGGTTTAGTGGTAAAATCCATCGTTGCCATTTGAGGAGTTTCATCTCCTCAAACAACCTCGATGGGCCCCGGGTTCGATTCCCGGCGAACGCATTTCTTTTTTGCTTTTTGAATGGCCTCACAATACCATTCATTAATGGTGATTTTTGAAGTTGTGGTGGATGGTTGAAATTTTGGAAATTTTGACGGTGGTGAGGGGAATGTGGGGTTGTGAAATTTCTTTTATTAAGCCACAAATACAGGTTGGGTTGTAAGGCTCTATAACCTTCCCTTTGCTTACTAGAACTAGAAGGCGACGAAAATTTTGCATTGATGTCACTGACTGATCGGATATCAGAATCATGTTATGCACGTTTAAACTCGCCGTAGACCCCAACCTTTGCATTGGGGTAAGTTTTTATTACAAGTTGTATAAGTTATACCACATGATTTACTATAATATTGTTGTATAGACTATCAATCTAAGTCTGTTAGAAGTCAGAATTTCTTATATGAACAGATTCCGGCCTAATCTATACCGGCCCTAGATGCATTTAAGATGCCTTCCACAATTTTGAATCTATTTCTACACTGAAAATACAGATACAAAGTGACAAGTAATCGATTTGCTTCGAAATCACGACGATTAGGCGTCAATTATCTCTCGTAACTTTAGGACATATGTAGGTACTCTATGTGTCATTATCAATTGTTAACTAACCTGTTGGCAATATCACTTTCACCACTCAATTCCACATCTCATGATATCCAACCTCCAAACATGTTGCAATAGTCTACTATGGTACTAGAAACGACGAGGCGATCGACAGAGTAGGAGACAGTGAATCAGTGATACGAGTCAGTCTATTTTTATGTGCACCTTTAATGCCAAACTTTGCCTACGAAGTTTTATAGATATGAGTTGAGGGTTCAGATACGTACTCGTCACTATATTTATTGCACCCAGGATGAGTTAGGGGATCAGGTACGTACTCATCACTATATTTGATTGCACCCAGGATGAATCATTGTTCCCAAACACCCGGTTCAATTTTTGGCATATACACGCCTCTTATAAGAAGTTTGATGTTAATCCCTTTGCTTTGAATAATGGCCGGGAAGCGTAAATATGTGCGAAGGTGGTGATTCCTGTTGGAAAATCGGATACATGGCCGTTGAACTGTACCAGTAGCCTTAGGAAGAGTATTGCCATTCGATGGCTTCCTACCAATAAGTCCCCGTGTTGAGACTTGATGTCATCTCGTGGTCATATTAGCACTGATGAACTAAGCCCTAGCCATCTTGATACTTGAATCTCCCTTGAAATTTGACCCTTCATGTACTCGATCACGGACACGCCCCTTGAGAAATACTATCTGGAATCTTTGGTCAATCTCTGTAAGAACATATAATCGACCCAAGGGATTGGATCAGAAGAGGTACGTTCCGATTCATGGTTCGCAGTAAGTTAGTAGAACTTAAAGTCCACATGGTGGCAGGTGACAAGATATATTACAAGTGTTCGGATAGACTCTTCAGAGCTGTATATCCATTACTATCTAAATAACTATGGCCATTGCCTGTTTCTATAGAGAGTTGATATCTCGATCATCTTTCTTCCTTGTAATCCACAACCAAGAAATGGAATATAGATGGAATTAGCGTACCCCCAGCATAGCAAGAACAATATCCCTCGTGGCGCAATTGGCTAGCGCGTTCGACTGTTACTTGAAGCAATTCATTCGCAGCAGATCCATCGAGAGGTTGGTGGTTCAAGCCCACCCGAGGGAGGTTTATTATCCTTTTGCTTTTGTTGCTTTGGCTCTGCTGTTGTGATTGTATTGCAAGTTGAGTTGGTTGTTGGAGGACTACTTTTTTTGTTGGCGACGGCTGCAAAAAACGTGAAACTGGTCCGTGCGCTTGGGCCAAAAGCTGGTGGTTCAAGCCCGCCCTAAGGAGATATCTTCATTATTTTTTTGCCTTATTTTTGCCCTCCGTGTAGAGAGATGTGGGTGCAGTGGAGATTTAAGGACTAAACGATGGTGGGCAGGGTTAAACGTCTTGCGGAGTGGAGTAGCCTTTGCTCAAAGTGGATCTAATCGAGTAAAAATACCCTCCGAAGTGGATGGATGCTCTATCAAAGTTTTTTTTGGTAATTTAACATGCGTGAAAATTTCTATCCTGCTTGAGCTGGAGACTTGAGAGAGTTCCCCCAGTTGAATTATAATGAGCAAAAGCAGAAACTTTTGTATCTAGTCCCCGAATATAGAACCGACCGGTCAGTCATTTTGCCAAAAAAATTGTTTCAAAATGAAAAAAAATACAAATAAATGCAAAAAGTTAATGATGAGAGTGGGATTCGAACCCACGCCTGTTACCAGACCAGGAGATTGTAAACAATCGTATGTTAAGAGTTTAATACCTTAACCTGGCGCCTTAGACCAACTCGGCCATCTCACCTGTTTGTTGTAGACAGCCCGCCAAGTTTGGAATATAAACACATTCCCAAGCGGGGAAACTTGGTAGAGGAGGGACTGTCTTCTCCACCCGATTATTAAGAAGTTCCCCACTGTAGTACACAACTTTGATCATAAATTAGAGGAGTTCCTGTATTAAGGATATTGGTTCATGACAACAAGACAAAGGTTCACAAAAGGAAGGGTTGCGAAGTGTTCTGATAACGATGTTGTGGTGAATTTTCCCTTCATTCGTTCATAAAGACCTTGCCTTCTTGAATTTTCTTTCCTTGAGAGTAACGTGAGGTAACTCATATCCCATCCAAAATCTATATAATCACCCACCGTAACGCCTCGCTATTCCTTTCTATGACCTTGAAAAATCACGATTCTCACTCATGTTTTCCTGTCGTAGTTTTTCCATATGCCCCACCTGCAGCTTTCCTCATTTCAAGAGCTCTCTTGTACGGAGGTGCTGTTGGAGGTTGTACTGGATCAAGTGTAATACGATCCTTTGGTAAATGATATGAAGCATCAGCATCATAACCAGATAAATCTCCGCATGCCAAAAATGGAGCTATCCATCGTCCTGATTTTCTTAATTTTGCTTCATCAGTAGGAAGTTTGGTTTCCCATATTCCATCCTCTCTTCGTATCGTTGTTTCGACTCGACTTTCTGAACAAGTCCTTTCTTCAGAATTTTGTGAATGAATAGACGAAACCATTGGCTCCTGGCTAACAGCTGTATCGACCATTTTGGATAATCTATCCCCAACACCCATGGGATCTTCCATGCTAGCTTTAAATCCTTCTGGAGGTTGGAAGTTTAGACAGACAATAAAAGCTTCTACACTGCTCGCACGACTTGATCTTGGTTTTGAAACAACCACTCTTTCAAAGAATATCTTCAATTGAGCGAATAGAAGATCAACATTCCTTCCTCGAAAAATCTTAGCAACAAATTTTCCACCTGGACGAAGGACACAAAGTGCAAGATTCAAAGCCGCGAAAAGTAATTGTGATTGAACATAAATGTCTAGATCATGAAGACCCGTAACATCTGGAGCACCATCGCTAATAACTAGATCCACAGGGTTGGAGGCTTGTTGAGAGAGGGACTTTGGATCATAAGATGAATCGAGAGCACTTAAAAGTAATGGAACAGTCGCCGGGTGTGTAATATCTGCTCGAAGTGTTATGATTCCTTGTAAAGGACTCATGGGTTGCAAATCGATAGCCACAATTTTGACATCCTTTTTTGGTTTAAATTCGGCCTCATTTGACTTTTGCTTCTCCTCTACTGTAGCCTGGGTAATTCCAAGTATATTTTGTCGCATTCTTGTTTCCTTGTCTTCCCATGCAGCTCGACCAAACTTCTCTCCTTTGATTAGGACTCGAGATAGGACTTGAGACCAACTTCCTGGGGCAGCGCAAAGATCAACAACCCTAGTGACATCAGAGAAGAGGTCGAATTCTAAAAGAAATGAGTTAGTCAATGCAACTTAGGCAATATAAGACTGCACACAACAAGTCTATAGTGGGGTTTAATGCCTTCATCAAGTTGTAATAATTTGAAAGCACTTCTGGCTCTCCATCCTTGTTCTTTCGCGAGTCTGTAGTAAGCATCACGCTTATCCTTTGAGGATTTTCCCATCTTGAAAATAGGATGAATATGAACGAAACTTGTGGAGAAGGTTTGAAGCCATCGATGAATGTTGATTTTTGCGACAAGGCTGAATCACTAACTTAGTGCGAGGCTGAAAGGCTGAGTGGACAGGGATATCATTGACAGGGATCTCCAGAAAAAAGTTATGATATGCTTTTCTGAGAGAAACGAGTTGATTCGAGTCAACCAGAAAATATAAGGATTTTCGACCTTAAGGATTCCCAATTAGACATGGATACCAAACAGAAGAAGCGTTCTCATTCAGAGACCAATGGCTCTCAGAAAGCTCCAAAACGTCAAAAGATTCAGAAAACATCCAAGAAGCAAAAGAAAGATGCGCCAAAGAAAAAAGTTGCCGTAGACTCTCTACCATGGAACGAAGTAACGATGCCAGATATGTTTGAAGATGCTGAGGGTTTCTATGGACTAGAGGAGGTAGATGATGTTGAGGTAGTAAGAGATGGCGATGTTGTCACATTTGTATGTACACCCGGGAGGAATTATGTGAAAGATGCTTATTCTCTTTTAGGTATCTTCCAAGATACAGACTAAAGACGACGATGACGATGAAGAATTTGAAGGCTTTGGAGATGATGACGAAGATGGTGGAGATGCGGAGACAGACAATACCAGCGAAGCGACGCCAATTCTGAAATCTACGGAAGAGAGCAAGGGACAGGAAGAAGAACAGCAAGGAAATAAAGAGAAGATAGAGAAAAAACCAAAGCCCGAAAAGAAAGAGAAGAAGGAAAAGCCAAGTATAAAAGATGAAGAAGAGAAATTGACAAATAAGAAGGAGAAGAAGCAGAAAAAAGAGAAATTGCAAAACCAGCCAGTCGATAAAGATGCTGGCCTGAAACAAGATTCCCTCAAGAATGTCTTTCAAGCACTCGAAGATGATGCCTCACGAGAAGTTGATGTTTCAGGTTGGGAAGAGCTAGATCTTTCGTCGAATACTTTATCCGCATTATCAAAAATGGGCTTCTCGAAGCCAACTCCAATTCAATCTGAGTCTATTCCAGAAGTCCTGGCAGGTCATGATGTTGTCGGAAAAGCATCTACAGGTTCTGGAAAAACATTGGCATTTGGAATACCAATAGTAGAGAAGTGGCTAGAGCAATATGGAGAACTGGATGAGGATGAACTTAAGAAGAGCACAAGACCGCCAACTGCGTTGATTCTTTCGCCTACAAGAGAGTTGGCACATCAACTGACTGAACATATCACAGCTTTATGTAAAGGTATGCCTACAAGCCCATATGTAGCTGCTGTCACCGGAGGACTCTCCGTCCAGAAACAACAACGTCAATTAGCCAAGGCAGACATCATAATCGGCACACCAGGTCGTCTATGGGAGGTTATAAGCTCCAGCAATGAATTGTCAGCTGGCTTGAAACAGGTAAGATTTTTGGTCATCGATGAAGCAGATAGGCTTTTGACCGATGGTCACTTTAAAGAAGCAGAGGAAATTCTAAATGCTCTGGATCGTACACACGGTGATGAAGATGATGATGAGGAAGGCACATTACCACCCAGACAGACTTTGGTTTTCTCGGCCACTTTCCACAAGGGATTGCAACAGAAGCTTGCAGGCAAGGGCAAACAATCTTTCAAGGATGAAAGTCAATCGATGGAGTACCTGCTGAAGAAGCTCAACTTCCGAGAAGAAAAACCCAAATTTGTTGATGTGAACCCCATTTCGCAAATGGCGGCTAATTTGAAAGAGGGTATGGTAGAATGTGGCGGCGAAGAGAAGGTAATGCTCCATAAATCACGAATTATGCGTATTTTGCTCACACCCTATAGGATCTCTACCTATATTCTCTCCTCCTCCATCACCCAAACCAACGAACCCTCATCTTCACTAACTCCATCCACTCCGTCCGCCGTCTAACCCCCATGCTTCAAACCCTCAACATCCCGGCCCACTCCCTCCACTCCCAAATGATCCAGAAAGCCCGCATGCGCTCCATCGAAAAGTTCTCCCGCACAAATAACACCGGCTCAGTCCTCGTAGCTACCGATGTCGCAGCCCGCGGTCTCGATATCGGAGGTGTCCAATTAGTCATCCATTACCATCTCCCCCGTACCGCAGATATGTACGTCCACCGATCCGGTCGTACAGCTCGTGCCGCAGCCTCCGGATCCAGCATCCTTCTTTGCGGTCCCGAAGAAGTAGTTGGCACTCGTCGCTTGGTGGCTAAGGTCCATGCTCGAAATGCTCTTAATGCAGAAGGTAAGAAATCCAAATTCTACATTCGCTCTCTCGATATCGATCGCCGAGTCGTCTCTCGCCTAAAGCCTCGCGTCACCCTTGCCAAAAAAATAGCGGATAGTGCGTTAGCAAAAGAGAAAAAGGGTCATGATGACGAATGGGTTAAAAACGCAGCTGAAGAATTGGGTGTCGAATATGACAGTGAGGAATTTGAAGCATTAGGTGGCGGCAGAAAAGGAAGAGGAACGGGAAGGAGGATGAAGGAAAAAGAAGCGAGAGGAATGACTAAAGGGGAAGTGGGGGCCTTGAGAGCGGAGTTAAGGGCGCTCCTCGCCCAAAGGGTTAATGTGGGGGTTAGTGAGAGGTATTTGACGAGCGGGACGGTCAATGTTAATGATTTGCTGAAGGGCGCGAAGGGTGAGTGGTTGGGAGAGGTGGAGGGTATTGGGATGGAGGATGATTAAAGTGTGCTTTATTAAGTAGATGTTAAATCATTGCCTAGCTGATGAGGTTATTAGCAATGAATGAATATAAATACGATTCATACCCCCAAGAATACGTTTGGTTGAATGTTACCCCGAGTCTATCTATTTAAATGTACGTAAAGAGACGAGATATCTATCATATACAAACAACAAGATCTTGTCTCGAAAGAAGTATATATATAATTGACTACCGGCTCCCTTTATACAACCCTCCTCATCTTCCCAATTCTCTCTAGACATCGAAACACTCTATCGAAAAATGATTAGCATTCCCATTTCCCCCCAAGCAACATCTCATCACATCTCATCACATCTCATCACATCTCATCACATCTCATCACATCTCATCACATCATATCCATGATATTTTTTTTTCTAAATTCCTCCCTTCCTCCCTTCCTTCCAAATTCCAAATTCCCCCCATCTTCAAATCTGGTTAAACCAGACAAGAGTCTACCCATCCATCTACTCACCAAAAAGTTTACCTTCCATTACATACTAGGTAGGTATCCATGTCTCAAAACTTGAAATATTAGAAAATCAAAGAAAACCTATACCTATACCCATACCCATCCATACATATCGATAGCCATTGCTCTGAGATGAATTGCTCGCTGTAATTTCGTCCCAACGATATT